CTCTTCCTCCTCCTCCTCCTCCTCGTCGTACTCCTCCTCCTCTTCCTCCTCCTCCTCCTCCTCCTCCCCCTCCTCCTCCTCCTTCCCGCTGCCCCCGCGCTGCTCCTCGGCCTGAGGGGGGGTTTGGAGGGCTCAGGGGGAGTCAGGGGACCCCCAAAGCCCCCCAGCCTTCGGCCTCACCTTGCCTTCCTCCCCCTTGCTGCTCCTTGGCCTGGGCGGCTCAGGGGGAGTCAGGGGGGTTTGGAGGGGTCAGGGGGAGCTCGGGGGGCTCAGGAGACCCCCGAACACCCTGAGCCTTTGGCCTCACCTCGCCTTCCTCGCCCTCCTCGCCCTCGCTGCTCCGCTCGCTCTCGTCCTCCGAGAAGTTGCTGTCGTCGCTGTCCGACATGGCTGGGGGTCCTGGGAGGTCTAGGGGGGCTTCAAAGGGGCTGAGGGGGGGTCCTGGAGCAGTCAAGAGAGTGTTCTGAGAGGAGCTGGGGGTGGTCCTGAGGGGGTCACGGGGGTGTTCTGGGGGGTCTTGGGGACGGGCTGGGGCGGCTGCGGATCCTTCAAGGGGACCTGGGAGTGTCCCGGGGGGGTCCCGGGTGGTCCCAGGGTGGGTCTAGGGTTACCCCGGGGTTATCTCGGGGGTGTCCCGGGTTATCCCGGTGGATCCCGGGCGGTCCCACCGCCCCCCCCGCCCCCTCTCACCCTCAGGCTCCGCTCGCTCTGAGGCCGCGACCCGGCCTGGCTCCGCCGGGGCCTGTTCCTGTCCGTGCGCCGCTCCCGGCTGTCAGTCTGTGACCCGGTGCCGTTCCCGGTGTCCCTCCCGGTCTCTTTCCCGGTCCCTGTCGCGGTTCCTGTCGCGATTCCCAGGCTGGGCCCGCGCTCCCTCCGGGTCCCCTAACAGCCCCTTCCTCTCGCGAGATTTCCCGTCCTCCCTCTCGCGAGATCTCGCGCGACGGCGGCGCGGCGGGACCAAAAAAAAGCGCGGAGCGTTTTTCGCGATTTTATGACATCATCGGGGCCGCGACGTCACTGATAGGCCCCGTGACGTCACGGAGCAAAGCCCCCCCCCCGCCCCCGTGACACCCCCCCCGGACACGTCCCAACCCTCTGGGATCCCCCTGTGCACACAAAGGAAGCAATGTCACAAAAAAATCAATTTATTTAACAAAACTTAAGAGTTTCACCCCAAAACTTGGGGGTCTATCCCAAAATTACCCATTATCCCCCCAATTATCCCCTCCCAGGAGGGCCACTCCCCAAAACCCATCATTGAGACCCGTGTGGACACACTCAGACCCCCTCCGACACCCCTGGAGACCCTCAGGGGGGCTTGGGGGTGTCCAGGACCCCCATGGAGACCCCCCAAAATCACCCCCCCAGTCAAACCCCAAAACCAGCCTCCCCCCCCCAGAACAGGGGTCAGACCCCAAACCCCCTCCCAAACTCACACCTCCCAGGAACCCCCTCAGTTTCTGCCTTTAACCCCCCAAAACTCCATCTGGGGGGGGGTTCAAGATCCCTCTGAAGCCCCCTAAGCCCCCCCCAACCCCTTCAGACCCCCAACCCACACCAGGGCCCCCCAGTAGCACACCCAACTCCCGGTCAGACCCCCCAAACCCCAGAAACTTCTCCTTAACCCCCCAAAGCCCTCCTGTCCTGACCCCCTCGGGGACCCCCAGGGTGAACCCCTGTGCCCCTCCCGCAGCCCCACGAGTGCCTCTCCCAGAGCCCAACCCACCCCCAAAACCCCCTTTAACCCCCTCGCCCCCCTCCCCAGCCGTGTTTCGGGGCATCCCTGGGGGTCCCGGTCCCTCAGGGCCCCCCCGGGGGGGGCAGCTTGCCCGTGATCTTGTTGGCCCCCTCGAGGAGGGCGTTGTGGATGTCCTTGGCCCCCCCGATCTGGGCCTTGATGAGGGGCAGGTACTGGGTGTAGGGCAGGGGGGGCTCCCCGGGACCACCCCCCCCCTCGCCCTTGGGGGCCGCCGGGACCAGGGCGGGGGCGTGTTTGGCGCTGTCGAAGCTCTGGGAGAGGCACTCGTGGGCCAGGCGCTGGGGGGGACACGGGGGGGTCACCCGGGGGGGCCTGGGAGGGTCCCCGAGCTGAGACTGGGGGAGTTTCGGGGGATTTGGGGGGGTTTGGGGAGGTTTTGGGAGAGTCACTCTTGGGCCAGGCACTGGGGGGGGCACAGGGGGTCATCTGGGGGTGGTCCCAAAGGTGGGACAGAGGGGGTTTGGGGGCGTTAATGTGGGGTTTGGGGGGTGGGTTTGGCTCTGGGAGAGGCACTCGTGGGGCTGGGGGGACACAGGGGGTCATTGGGGTGTCCCCAAATTGTTACTGGGGGAGGGTTGGGGGAAACTGGGGGAGTTATGAGGGAGGGGAGTTTGGGGCTGTTTTTGTGGTAATTTGGGGTGGTTTGGAGGTATTTCTGGGTGGTTTTGGGGGGTCTCTCACCAGGCACAGCTCCAGTTGGTCACAGAGAGCATAAAACTCCTCCAGGCTCTTGTCGAAGCGCTGCAGGGCCCCGTCCGCGCTCTTCCTGAGGGAACTGGTCAGACTGGGGGGCACTGGGAGGGACTGGGGGGCACTGGGAGGGACTGGGGGGCACTGGGAGGGACTGGGGGGGACTGGGAGGTACTGGGATGGTACTGGGACGGTACTGGGATGGTAGTGGGATGTACTGGGAGGCACTGGTCACTCACTGGCCGCTGTCGATGCTGCAGTTCTGCACCAGGTTTTGCGCCGCCACCTTCATCAGGCTCTGAGGGGGTCGGGGGTGAGGGGGGGACCCCAAAACCTGGGGAGACCCCCCGAGGGAGGGACACGCCCCCTCAGGGGACACGCCCCCTCCCAATGCTAAACCCCGCCCCTTCCCCACACAAACCACGCCCCCTCGGTATCGGACCACGCCCCATTTCACATCAAGTCTCGCCCCCTCAGGCACCGCCCACCTGCGGATCGCGTCCCTCCACGCCCCGCCCCTTATTTAAGCCCCGCCCACCTGCAGGCTCTCCTTCAGCTGCGGCAGCAGGACCCGGAAGCGCTGCACGGGCTCGAAGTCCTGCTGCGCCTGCGCGGCCTGCGCGGGGAGCGCGGGGCCCGGAGCGGCCCCGACCGTTGGGGGCGGGCCCGGCCCCCCTCCTGCCGCCGCTGCGGGTCCCGCTCCCGCTCCGGGCGGCCCCGCGGGAGGTGCGGGGGGAGGCCCAGGGCCGGGCCCAGGCTGAGGCGGCGGCGCCGCCATTGTCGTCCCCGGGGCCGCTTCACTTCCGGCGCGCGGCGCGGCGGGGAGTGACGTCGCTGGGAGCGCGCCGGAAGTGGCGGTGCGAAGATGGCGCCCACCATCCAGACGCAGGCGCAGCGCGACGAGCCGGGGCACCGGTAACGGCCGTGACGTCACCGTATTGACGTCAGGGGGCAGTGTCGTGACGTCACGCGGAGCGCGGGAGCCCCTCCGCGAGATTTGGGGGGTCGCCTGTGACGTCACGGCGCCGATACACAGGGAGGAATGGGGGGTTCCCATTGTGACGTAAGGGCGCGCGCGGGGATGGGTAGGGGTCACTCGTGCCGTCATATTACACTGATGTGACGTCACGCGGAGCGGGGGGAGTCCCCCGGGGGTTTGGGTGGGCTGGGGGTCCTCTGTGACGTCACGGCACCGCTATTTGGGGAGGAAAGGGGGTCCTGTTCTGATGCCATTTATATGGGGAGGGTCGCTCGTGACGTCATAACCCTCCACCACCACCCCCGTGCCCCCTCCAGGCCCAGCTCGCACCGGACCCTCCCCGAGAGGTGAGTGGGGGGCGGGGGTTCGGGGTAAAAACCCCTCCTCGATTTTGGGGGTAGTTTGGAGCCCCCCTGATTTCGGGGGTCTCTGAGCCCCCTCCCCCCGTTTTGGGGGTCTCTGACCCCCCCGTGTCCCCCCCAGGTCGGGGGTCGTGTGCAGGGTGAAGTTCTGTAACGGGCTCCCCGACATCCCCTTCGACCCCAAGTTCATCACCTACCCCTTCGACCAGAGCAGGTTTGGGGGTCCCCAAAAATGGGGGGGTCCGGAGGGGCCCGGGGGGGCTCAGGGACCCCCCAGCACCTGATCATGGCCTGGGACATCATCTCCAGGGCCGCGGCCCCCGACGTGTCCTTGGGCGCCGGGTCCGAGTCGAAGATCACTTGGGCA